AGAAAGTCCACTCTGAATTTTTAGTGTACCTATTTCGATTAGGTTGTTGCTCGCTAGCGAAACATATCCGCGACGTCAAGAGAGCTGATCCTTCATAAGAACAGCGATTCTGCATTGCTCAATGCTACATTACTCATAAACTATGCATTGATGAAAGTCAACAAACCTGAAACCCCAGGTCAAGCAAGGCTTCCTGTGAGTTTATTCCCTAACACTTAACACCAGAATGCAGATAAAAAGGTACCAATCTTTTATCTCGATAAGATATATCAGCTTTTAATAGGCCTCCTAATTTATTCGGTAATTCAGCGGACTAGTTAATAGAGAAGCTGTTGGAGGATAAACACTTATGAAATTACTTTATTCCAAGCCAAATTGTGTGTTTCTAGTTCATTTTCCAAAACAAACATGTTTGTACTCTGTTGCTCAGCCTTACTGCAGCGTTTTGTTGCTTATGCTGCTATGGACTGAATAAAATCTGAGATTTTATCTACCACTGTCAGTGAACCTGTTCGATATAAAGGAAGCCAAAGTATGCTATTGTCAATAAATCTCATTTGGGAGTGAACAGACAGACGGATTAGTAATACGTTTCTTCTCTATTTGAATTTACAGTTAATTATTTGTATTTTTATATTCCATTTACTTACTTGATTACGTCGAAGTTCGAGTCAATAAGCTTAGTATAAAAGTTATGTGTATCACTCACTTTTGATATGATAGATATGAATTGTTCTCAAGACCACAATCACCGGTGGGGCATCGATTTCCTTATTTTTGAAGATATGCCTTACTGAGGAGTGATGTCAAACATGGAATCTAGGGCGAACAAGTTTTCCTACAGACTGACTCTCACCATCTAACACCATAAATACAGTCCACGATGGTTCTGTTTACTGACCAGACTGCGTAAGTTGGAAGATAGACTTCGATCAGTGCTAAGCATCAAGATCTCGACGGCTGCATGAGCTACCCACTGGTCACTAACTCGTGCACATTATCCAGTCCTACAGTGGGTCAGTCGTGGCGTGAATAATTAAGTGGTTAAACTCTAGCTTCAGCGCTGAGCTACGCGGGTTCGAACCATCAAGAGAACAACAGGTCCCTCATAAGTTCTGATACATTTTACTGATGAGTGACTGTGGACCCGAAACCTAATTTGGGCATGGCTTCCTGCCGACTAGCTCCTCTCATCTAAAACGAAGCTGTTCATAAGTACTTGAAAAATTTATTGGTTTACCGAATACTTTTCTAAATAAAATCATGTGAACTTGGCTACACTCGTATAGAGATTTTGCATTAAACGCCAGTCTATCGACTACTAAAATGATCAATTAGGCTTCTTTATTTTTCGAAAGAAGACGTTTTCCAGGCAAGTGACAGAAGCATAATTAACTATTTCACTGGTTGTTAGGGTAGCATTAAAAACCATTCTATGATTCATATTACACTGAATATTTGAAATTCTTCATACGTATTTAGGAGTCGAAAACTAGCATTTACATACATATATATGTCGGCGAAAGCAGGGTAATGGTAACGTTTTTTACTAACTGGTACAGAAGTCATGTGTTCTGTGCACTCTCTGGAACCAAAACAACATTTTTATTAAGGCTTAGTCTGCCACCACCAACTTCAATTTTGTATTCAGTAGAACCATAAATACACTTACACCTAATGCTTTAATTTATGCTTCACTAAGATACATGAACGAAATGCGTTCTAAAATATACGTTTCGAAGGAAATTCAAACAACACATGTATAATATGTGACTATACAGTTCCATACTCAGACCATCGCCGATTGATTAACGTCATTTGTTTTCAGAAAATCTTAAGTTTGAGCTTTGACTGACTATCTCCTGTCAATGAAACCACTTACATATTCGCCTACCAAAAGCTTTTTATTGTCTGTTTAAGTGGAATAGGTCTGTACTACGGGGCGCAAACGAATTGCTCGATTCTTATATGCATAAGCGACTACCGCTTAACCAGATCAGAACAGTGAAAGGAATATCATTCAGCCAATTTCAGTGAATGAATGCAGCTTTGAGTAAAGTTGAAACCAAAACCAGTTTCTTGACATGATTCGAACCGGTGGTCATCTAGATTATCATTTCTATGTTGTTCCAACTCAACTATCAGATCCAGTTGTCGGCCAAGTTTCAATTGTATTTCAGTTGTTATCAGTTAATGACACGTTACTGACTACTTGTTCATTGTTATTCCACAAACTGACCAGCTAGATCTCATCCTAATTTGCATCAGGCTTTATTAAAGATCCAGACCACCTGGCGAGTTGATAATGAGACTGACATTATCGTGATCTCTATGTAACATAGCGGTTATTGAAGATTAGTTGGCTATCTAAGATAATTTCATTGACGATAAGCCATAATAATCAAGGATTACATCTTCCAAAAACATACAGACTATAAAATTAGTTGAAACTATGTTCTTAGGATCCCTCAATAAAACTAAATACATTGGCTAATAACCTGATCTTGGTATGATCATTAGGCGTCATTTTGACATTTGTTCTCTTAAGATTGTAAACATTATAATGCCTACAAGCTGAGAAATGAGAGTTTAATAAGAAGTGTGTGATGATCAACCACTGAAGAGTTATCCCATTCCATATTGTGCTTGACTCTTGGTATCAGTATTGGTTGACTTTGAAATGTAGTCACTAATCCGATCTACTCACCACGTCTACGCAAGTTGTTTGTATCTAACATTAATAATGTGTGTAACACTGAACAGAACTGCAATGAAACAACAGAGGTTCACATAAGTATTCATACTCTACAGTGAAGTTACATTACGAACTATTCGATTTTTCGGTATACTAATATGCAGTTTTTTTGTTACTGCTTTCTTCCCGCAGAATCTTCGCCAAGCAATCGTGATCGCTTCTTATTCTCTTCAACGTCTTGCCATATATTACTGACATAAATCCTTATAAGTTGTGTACACCACTACCTTGATTTCGTGACCACACTTTAGGTTTGATCAATGTAATTTTGTCATCACTGACGTTCATTAGTATCCGGTAACTGATCACTGAAGTTGAAGTTTCCCTGAAATACCCAGTCCTCTTATTCTGCTATTCAGGTGATTAAGGTTATGCTCACATATCAGTGATGGATAGTGGCTAGCAGAGGAATCCACGTTGCGTGTTCCCTCGTATTTGGGACTTGTCGACTGGATGTACCTGGCTCCTAACAAGGGATGTAATTCCCAACAAAACTCGAACTCAAGAGTGATACCTTCAAATACCATATCGTTATCCACTAGGCCACTAGGTCCCGTTAGCCACTTTTTAAGCGGTGGTCATAGCATGGTATAAGACAAAACGCCCATCCACTGTTCTACTCTTAGCCACTATCCATCATTAATAACTAAACTGAAAATCCCAGCGATACCGAGGCATCCAAACAGAAGCCCATACACCAATAAGGCTCGATCCATTCGGTCCAGTCAGAGACTAGAAATTACATCCATGATATGTAAATGAGGTGTTGATCTAAATCCAGTCACACAATCTTTCGTACTTGATAGGTAAATTCTGTTTCTTCACTCACTAGAAGTATTCACTAGACATCCCCACTCCCAGATGTTATTTAACCTGCCAATTTTTTCGAAATAGCTGCTTAAATCTCTATTCAAGATAGTACTCATCATAGAATGACACCAGCTGGAGGTCTGTAGAAAACCTAAGAGCACTGGATAGCGGTTTCCCACTTCTTTGAAACTCCTTAGCAATGCGCACCCACGACTCCCCCTGGTTTCGCGACGAGAACATCACCATTCAACCAGTGGATAGAAAACCAATGGTACACAATTTTCTACTTACGTCAATGCTCGATAAAGTGCGACCATTATGCACTACCATCTCTCAGTACTCCACCTGACATTCGACTTGATTGATCGCATAGGTGACGGGTTATCATTAGGACCGTTTGAAATCCACCTAGAAGCATATCACTAGTGAACACTAGACAGTAATTCAGTCTACAGGTTGTTAGGGGTTGATCGTTTTCTAGGCAGTATTAATCATGGCGTGAAATCAGTTACATAACTATCAGAAACCTCAGGGCACTGGTTAAAGGTCATGATATATCGCCAGTTGACAGAATTAGCAAAATATGGACCATTGAATTGCAATGTAGTGCCTTGCTAGTGACGTGCGCACTGAGATAACTGATGGTCCTGAGTTCACCTTCTGGTAGAGTTATAGATGCAGAAGGGTCCTGTATTAGTAGCGGGAAACAGCTGTCCAGTAGTCTCAGGTTTTCATCGGTCCTCCAACTTATGTCAGCTGGTGATGAGTGCCACCTTGAAACTAGTTAATCCTCACAAACCTCCAAACGAAATCCCCATTATCAGCTTAGTTTACGAGGTGTTAAGTGGTTGAAAAGTTTAGAATACCTTGTTGAATTATCTTCTGCACATTTAGTAAAAGACTGGACAATGTGAGATGAATCAGTCTGTATGGGTAGATTAATAACAGTGGACAGTATTACGGAAAAGTTAGACTGATCAACCTGATTATCTGATTGCTGCAGAATGTTGGTGTATCCATTTCTAGACGATAAATGATTCGGTCTGCTCTCAAGCGAACTGAGAAAGCAATCAAGATTGGTCATTATTAAGGAGGAAATGACACCTATTCAAACAATGTTCGACTACCTATTTAACTTCTTTGATCTTGACCAGGTAATTTTTATAGATTGAGTTTGCGGTTTCGAACAGGTCTTTCAAGTCCTTCACCAAGAGTAACCTGTTTTAGTGTGATTAAGTCCTCCATGTGACTAAAATATCTTACTAGATTTAAAAAGAACGAAAACGTGCAAAACGCTTGACCATATTTCATTCTCAGGTGGAATAAATTGATTCGCTAAAACATAACTCGCCTAAAAAGAAGTTTCCTCGCCAAATAAGAGAAAAATTCGTTAACTTTCACTGTTTCATATTTACTACCATTTAATACTCAACAGATGATCAAACACGGGTGATACTGAAAGAAGGATCTGGAGACTATATCAATGCCAGCTTTGTAAATGTAAGTTCCAGTCATTCTCGTTCGTCAATTTCCCTATAACTACTACTACTATCTATTTTTAGGCTGATTTTGCATCCAGTTCCTTATTTATAACAAAACAATCATCGATTTTTTTTTATTTTACTCCTAGCTGTACATCACTTCTGTTTATGAAAAAAGTTTTATATGTTAAGTTTTTGGGGTCAACTTGCCTATGATTAAGACTTTTAAATCTGTAATGAAAGGTCTTTTCTCCTTTGATTCATTGCTGATAGTACTAATGTTACCATATGGTTGAAACAGACGTGTCTTAGCACGACCTGACTAAAACGCTATGCATACATATGTTTTACTGACCAGTGGTGATCTCCTGCCACTTACCTACATTCAACAGGTGCTGTCGATCTGTCTATCTGGCCCTGTTAGAACTGTGAATAGGCGGGTTTAGCACTGGTTATGTGATGATTGAGATGTGAATTGGTGGTCACTTGTAGTGACGTCTTCATTTTATAGAGAAATGTTTCTAAACTCACTCACTTTTGCCCTCATTTGCTTCATCTACTGGCTATTTCTATATTTTGTATTCTTCGTATCTATTTATCTTTGATTTCTGTGCTTAACTATGAAATAACATGTAACCTTGTGTTATCTAACATCTAACTTCATATCCGAGTTTTCGTTGGGGAGTCTAACTTATAGCTTTATATATACAGACCAAATTACTCTGCTTGAGTGTCATACTGCCGAGAAAGAATATACATACATATAAACTAGATGTTACCCATTGGGGAGATCACGTGCCAAGCCAGGCCCTCGAGTGGAACACAAACGAGAAACAATGAGTTGGGCGTCCGAGGGTGACATGGAGGAGATGGTATGAGGAGGAAATGAGAGTTTGTGGGGAGTCGTGGAGCCAGGTTGAAAAGACTTCAGAGAAGAGAGGGAAGTGGTGATTGGTTACTGAAGCCCTATTTTCCACTAGGAACCCAAAGGACAAATAATAATACAGTAAAATAATCTAAACTGAATGCTAGTTTGTTGGAGATAATCAGCACGAATCCCTGCTTGATCTAGACTTCATGCTTTTTGGCACACGTCAGTAAGGCGTATCTGCAACCTCGAGGGAACCGATATTCCGCCTGAGATTATAACTTGTTACCCAGAGACGTCTTCAGCGACGTTACCACTTATCTATTCCGGGCGCGATCGATCCCCTGTGAGACTGGGTTGGATGCATTGACTGGTTACTGTTGAGCAGTCAGTCGCACCCCAGGCGGGACATCATTTTTCTTGAGGTTGCAGATATTCACTGCTGACGAATGAGAAGAAGAACGAAACCCGATCTCAGGGCTCTCTGTCGACTGCCTTTAATTAATAAACATCAATCGAAGTGCAATGAGACGATAAATCTCCGAGCTTGGTGAAGGCAGTGAAAAGCGATCCATAGAGTTGGATCACCACTCAGGAATAGATATCAGGAAATTGATATCTGTCCCGTGACCAACCAGTGTATGCACATATACTATCAAAGAGTCTTCAAATTAGCGAAAGCGATACACCTTTGTCCTCTCATTCCAACTAGTGTTCAAATTATGTCAACCTCCAGTTAAGACTACTTTAAAAGACTACTTAAAAATGGTGGGAAGCATCCTAAAATTTACATAACTCCCCTTCAGTTCATTAACATAAGGTGTGCGTTTCTCACAAATAACTGATGATACACATTTGGATAGGATAATAATGTCGTTTCATAGTTTAGCAGTTTGTTAGAGAAAATATACAGTCAAGCGACGAAATGAATAATAAGAAACATGCGGAAAACACTAACCCAATGAGACACTCGAACTGGATATGAATAGTATCTTTCCTACCTTAGTACCTTATCCTTTACTGAACCACGAAAATGTATTCACACAAAGAATGGCTTGTGACTGTAGGCAAGATACTTCGTCTAACAAAGATGCATCATTTATGTACAGTTTTACTGAACATAAAAAACCTCTAGGTCAAAAGTTAAGTAGCTCATTCTGATTGGTCGAGTGTTAGATTAAATTGTCCAATAACGTTTTTCTTGGCCACACAGTGACATAGAACAAAAATTGGAATACATAATTTCTACGTTACTGTTTGATGACTTAAAATGGTTGATTTCCATTTAGACTTTCTATTATGAAGCTACTGTAATTTCTCAAAGCAATATATATGTGGCTTTTGCGTTCAACAAATATCACTAAACATTATTTTAACTTGAACACTGTAATGTACAGATGGAATATCCTAAATGTGGAGTACATTTACGCTATATCGCTGCACAAGGACCATTGCCAAATACGTATGGTGATTTTTGGCAAATGTGCTGGGAACAACAAGTCTGCCTAATTGTTATGCTGACAGCGATCAGTGAACGTGGTCGAGTAAGTATTTTAATCATTATTTGTTGTACACTTTTCATTTCTGCGTTTAGTTGAAAATTCCCTATGTGGGTGTTTAAAAGCTAGTCAACCCACTTAAGGCTCAAAAAATCTGAGTTCGAACTAATTGAATCCAATAGTCATAATTCATTGCTGATATTTATAAAATCTATACCGGTTGGTAATTGAAGGTGAAATGAAAATTTGAACCGCTGCCAGATTCGAACCAGTAACCACCGGGTTTCCAGCCCTATGCTCTACCAACTGAATCAGCTCAGTTTGAATCTGGCTGCAGTTCAAATTTTCATTTCACCTTCAATCATCACCCAGTATAAATACTAGTCAGCCAAACCATGGCTATTTCAGACAGTCAGAATGATTTATAGAATCACTGGACTACTCATTAAATTCTATTACTGATGGCCGTGTGAACCCGAGTTGTTCACTGATAGACTCTTTTTTGTCAACATCTACTGTTATTGTGCAAAACAGTTCATCAATATGTGAGACGACAGCAGTCGTAACGGGGCATTACCCATAACCAGTCAACAGTTTTCTCTTCTCCGAATAAATTAATCTTCCTACTGACAGAAATCCCACTTCTAATTGCTACGAATGGTCATTTTCTTCTTTCGTCGGTTTATATTATTGGGTCATATAACTGGTATGTTCGTATTCTTGACCCCGTTATTATTGTTCTCGAATAGATTAAACCTCATGACATGAATTTTTCGATTGCAATAGGTAATCTTGATAAAAATATTCCATACCTGTTTATTCGTACTTGTAATTCCCCATTGCTACACTGGGTCGAATTACTCTACCTTTGTCGGCAGTATCGAGGCATCCGCATTAGGGCCCATCTGCTAACAGAGGTCCATCCATTCAACTCATCGTAGCAACAATATGCAATAAAAACAACAACAAACTGATAATCGTTGTACAAGAAGTGGCTTTTGTGGATAACGCTTTCACGGTGGGTACTGGATTCAAATCTGTATGGGAACTCCATTACTCACCTGGGTACAGGAACAGCCAACCGACGAGTCCCAAATGGGACGAAACATGCCTCCTGGACTTAACTGCTAACCACCATAACAAACTTTAAAAACATATTTCTTTTATTCGTGTCATTTTTATATGGACCTATGCAGGCATGTGTGAGTTGTCCTTCCTCTCATCATTATTGATAATTATTTCAGAACGATCTTCATTTTGAACTTGAATTCTAGCCACATGTTGCCCATGAAAACTATGAACATGTGAACAGCTTTCTTGCTATGCAGAGAAACTTTTGAAGGCTTTTCCTCAGTAATCCCTCTAAGATAGCACCCATCATATTTAGCCCGGTTATAATGAGTAACTTTAAAGGCCACCGTAACAATTACTGAAATAACTAATCAGGTTTTGGTATTTCTGCGAGGAAAGTATTTTTACGTAAAATAAGGAGACACAATTGGTTGCCTTAGCAGTTGTTAGAGTGGCCTTTAAAGTCTCTCACTATGATCAAATCACTGAGTTATATATCCTACCCTGAGTCTATTCGTAATATCTTCTTTCGGCTAAAAAGGATTTCTTGGATTTATGAAATACTCTAAACTGTTCCCTGAATATGGTTTGCCTCATAAATTGGGATAACTTACAAGCCCCGAAACCCTAAGTAGAATCTAAGATCCACTCTAGCAATCACTAAGATGGTAAGTTATACTTCTGTTTTTCAACTGGAAAAGTAGATTAGGGAAACCTGATTGGTTGATTTAATAGTTTCTGGGGTAGCTTTAGGCGTCGCTTATAGCTTCAGATTCAATCTCTGTCAACCGTGAATTCGAAAATCCTGTATAGTGTTGTAACAATTATGTGTTATTCGTGAAATACTAGGATGAAATCCTACACTACATATTTCCATTGTGAAGACTCATGAAAATAACTCAGCATTCCTCCTTCTCCATCCACCTCCTCATAGCATCCTATTGACGTTTTTAGGAGTTTTTGTAAAGATAACATGTGCAGGGAGATGAATTACTTTGAACCACATTGTGTACAGTTTACAACCATTGTTTTCACCTTTATCTTAGACAATGATAAGATGCCATCTGCTTTTTGTATGCCTGAAATCAACGATTAATGTGATCTTTTCGTCTGAGACTTTTTGCATTCCACTCCTCCAGCTTCAGGTAACATTACAATATACAGTGCCTTGGCATTACCACTTCAATATAACTGGATGTTTACAACCTCAAGAACTGATTTGCGATCTTATTCGATCAGCACTTAGAATTAGTTAACTTGACTTTGGCTACTACTCAGTGACTAATCGATCTGTATAATTTAATCCTAAATGAGGTCAGTTTTCACTTAGATAGTTTAGTAATACTTTCTCTGACTTCAGTACTGGATAGTACGGATTCCCATCATTAAGGTGAATCATTTCACTCTAGATTCCAAGGTACAATTCTATGCTCAGTACAAACACCCATGAAACTTGAGTGAGGTGGAACTTCTTATTGATTGTATGCGGTCACTTAACATCCATTTCAGGTATTTCTCTTTCTGGGTTCGGTTAGTGATAGGGTTTCAGAAGCTATCTCTTAATAGACATCCGCTAGCTTGGTGTGATGGTTAGACTTGCTTATCACAATGTTCCAATAGCTTATTTTACCCAAACAGATTGTTCCTGGAAGTTCCGACATGTCAAGAAAGTGAGATTATAAACAGTGTACAGATAAACAAAATCAAGGTAGAACTCCCCACAAGAGTGCATCCGTTCAAATTGTCTTACTTCACAGTGGTATACAAAGAACAGGTGGATGGAACAAGAGTGATAGCAAAGTAGATAAAGTTGTGTGAGAAAATAAACAATCTGGAGATAACCGTTAGCGCAAATATTCTAGCTTTACAAGATATCAACGAGTGAATACACCTGTGCCGTTTTCACCGATTTTCAGCCATGTCACCAAGAGCCCTTACAACTACTGATTCCTTTCTTCTCGAGGACCCCAACCAGACACTCTACATCTCCCCATACGACTCAGACCAACAGTCAGCGGCTTCCTCGACTGGTACCATGTCTTAGTCTGGTCACCCTGAACCGTCTTACAATCTAATCCAACTTCCATATTAGATTTGTTCATTCGATTTGTAACACGCAGTGACCTAATATTATTTAATTGATGACGTTTCGAGCATAAATTAAATAATGCTAGATCACTGTGTGTTATAAATCAAATAAACAAATCTTATATGGAACTAATTTCTACCACAGTACCCAACTTTTACACCTATACTAATCCAACTTCCCTCCGGAGACTGGCACGTCGAAGTGTGGGGTGGCGCAGGAGGAGCACTAAACATCCGAACCATCTCAGTCACTGAAGTTTCCTAACCTCATCAGTCGACCTGCCTGTTTTGCCTAGTACCCATCTCCTGACTGATCTCAAAATTTCTCACACGATGATTTCACCAAACCCAAGCAATGCTACCAAAACGTTTGTGATCAAAATCCTGTAATCGCTTCATGTATTATAACTTTTGATGGCCACTTCTCACAGACGTATAACAGGACTGGATGGACTGTAGCTCAGTAAACCCATCCCTTGATACATAGTTGCATATCTCGCCAGTGTTCGCCACAGATGACGAAGGCTGGGAAATTTCAAGCAGGCCTTCTGCATCTGAGTTGAAATTTCGTCAGCAATTACCATGTTCGGGCTGGTGCAACTCCCCAAGTAGGTGTTGTCTATACATTCCACTACTTCACTGCATATCATTAAAATGGGAGTAGTTGCAGCAGACCAGTCCTGGAGTATATTCCCACATTCGACTGGTGTGAAATGCACAACAGCCAAACATACTCAGATTTCTGCTCAACCCATCCAGGAGATCCTGCATTTGTCAGCGTATACCCCAAGCAGGACAATATCGTCTGGATACTTCAAGTCAACCAGATGACCTTCAGGGAGTAGATCGATCCCTGTGAAGTCAGACGTACACAAAGTTATTTTCATCAGTACAATGAAGTAGATAGACTAGAAAATTACTTCACAACAATGTCTGTTCGTCGACACCCAACAGTAACTAGCCAATATATTAATGAGTGATCACAAAACTTAGCTAAATCTCAAAGGTTCATGTGGTAGGATATAAGTCTTATCTGATACTGTACTATTGTTTAGCATGCAGTAAATAAAATACGTTTTGAGGCGCAACGCGTTGCTTAATAGAAAAATACTGAAAGGATGCTCTGCCGTCACCTTAATTTATCTCCATCTATCCCCTCACTAACCAGTTTTCGATAAGAGAAATGCAGAAATTCAGCATTACAGTATAGAATTTTCTTTGTGTTTATCTGACCAAGTGTTTGTCAGAAAAATTTCTGCATTTATATGAGACGAAATGATGCAAGAGCGCCGCATGTGGGTAGCAAATGCTTGACACCAATTTGTGCTATTTCCTTTTGTTAACTGGTATGAACCAAACTGATTAACCTGTGTTGGAATATCGGTTCTCATGTGAATGCCTCCATACAGCTGGCGATTTTATTTTGATATTAAGAATGGCATCCGCAAAGATGCAGCACGTGTGCCTATAAAGGCCAATCGGTTTTAGTCAAACCAATTAACAACAAAAATGTAAAGTCCTTATATCAAAATAATCCCCGTCTCAAGCGAGGTGACTATCTTGACTCATAAGCCTAGTCGATAAGTCTCCGATGTTTCAAGTGACGGATGCTGCTTGGTTTGGGTCACAGTGAGAACCTAATCAGCGGTGGTACATTCGACTGATGAGTCTCAAGTAGGGAGAAACTCATATCCTCAATTCTGCTGCTAACCACCACCCTTCATTTACGTCACTTAACATATTTGTTTGTTTAATTCTTCAAATTCCAGAACCCATTAGTGTACAGTGTTGTACATTGTTAATTTCAGCGGCGAGAACTCAATGATTTTCTGCGTGTGTGTGTGCATGTGTATTTAGTTTCAGGGAATGAAGGAAGATAGAAAGAGGAAAGGAGTCAGTGACCGTAAACGAAACAGAAAACAGTTTTCTGTGGGACTTTTTAAAAACGTTTACTTAAACAGCCTCCTTTTCCTAAATATTTTGGAGATGCACCATGTAGGTTGTATTATGTCTCTACTCAGATGTCCTCCTCGTTTAATTTTTTAGGCTAAATGTCATCAATACTGGCCAGATGTCAACCAGACAGTAAATTTCTGTGTTTCTTCAAGTCCCAGGATTTCACAGTTACGCAGTTCCACAGATCTACAACTGAGAACTATACGAGAAGAGGTAATTTTTCATTTCTTCACTTTTCATTCACCTAGTCTTTTAGTCAATAATTATTGTTGTTATCAGATGATCTGTTGAACTGCTACTTAAACTGAACTTAATCAGATTCATATGCTCATCAAACTAATTGTGATAGAGTTGTGTTGTTCATGTCACACAACTGGTTATCGTAACCTGTTTAAGGTGGGAGTTTGACAACTTTTAGTCAAACAGCTTTGATTGCCAGAGTGATCTGTATATTCAGAGAAGGCGACAGTTGTGAGTTAGGTGGGAAACCCCGGTCAAAACCGGATAAACCAACGGTTGGAGGCATAACTGTCAATTTTCAAGTTATTGCCTTGAAGTATATGTGCTACTGAGGAGTTGCGGCTGTCCTCCTTTTTCATTATGTGCAGGGGCAAGTGACATCCAATAGTTTGTTTACTGGTCCTCTTAATGATACGGCATTAAGTGTGAGGTCAGTTCAACCTATTTAAGACGATATGTTGAGAGTTTTTTCTACATGCTAACATAAAGGACTAGCATATTGACATATCAATTCTTAACTGCAGAAAACTAAATCGATATTTCGGAATTTACAAGATATTTTATGATAGTCACAATCTATCCAAAGAGTGTTCCTGTCCTACTGTCTTTAGCTGATTTTGATTGATGAATGAAACTGAAAACCACAGTCTTCGTAGGATTCGACCCAGTGACCTCAGGGTAACCAACTCAGTACTCTACCAACTGAGAGACGAAACCCAACTAGTAGCTATATCTTAACCAGACTTCAGTCATCAGCCAGTGTCAGTTATCTGCGTCTGAAAAACTAGAGCTATCTCAAATAATCACAATGATAATGACTTTTATCACAGTGAGATGGATATGATATTTGCAGAATAAAGTGACTTCTTTTTATTTTGTCAGTTTCCCGCCAACACTAAACAGCTAGAATTAAACGGTAGTTAGTAGTGGAATACCATACACGAACGAATTTGTAGAGTAGAGAAGTTAAATAGAGAGTAGGCAAATGGAAATCGTCAGCATACTGTTCAGGTGTAAACTAAAAACAACAGATTTCTCATACATCGATAACCACCAAAGTAATATAATATTACGTAAAACATTTCATAATGACTACAAAAACAAAATAAGAAACGATAAAAATATGATCAAACATGCGACCTCGATTAAAATACTACTTACAAGATGAATATAATAGCATAAAGAACAATCAGTTCCCAGACACTGTTGATACCAGTCCGTCAAACGTGTAGCGATCTCAACTACAGGCTCCCGAAATACACCACCCAACAAATAGCTTCTCATTACAATACTACTACTACTACTTCTGAAATTTGCTACATCTTGTCTATGCCTTCGAAAACGCTGCAATCTTTTTTATGAATGATTCTTAAATACACTTTTTTTAATTTTTTGTGCTCATCAGTAAACAGAAGTATTTGAAATTTTCTGGTGTAGTGCCTAATATTGATATGCTTTCTTTTTTTTCTTTTGTGGACTACCTGTCTAAGTCTCTTGTCATACTGTATACTGGGGATTAGACATTAACATGATTATTGAGTTCTATATCTTTGACTACAATACACATTTACGTCGTTTATGAATCCATGAATCTTTGAACATCATCATTACAACCAATAGTTTCGGGTGGAAATCACTCCATCCCGATCTTCGAATGTCTGCACTTGTTCAACTATCAATTTTTCTAACTGAACTACTATCCAACCAAACGGGGACAGCAGCCTCATTGGTTACCACAGATACTTCAAGCAGGTCACTAAAAGGAAGTTATGTGTATCTCGATAACTTATAAGTCAGAGAGAATATGAAAGCCTTGTGTTTTTTCTTTCTGTCTTGAATTTTCATTCAATAAGTATCAGAGCACCTTAGTGATTCATTACAAAATCGTCCTCTGAGGCTGGTCGTGGTGAGGTCCCTACCACTGGTTTCCACTTCTTGCGAAAACCTAGCATTTGGCTGAAATACAGTCGTGCGATAAACGGGTAGGCTCGTTCATGGAATGGGAATGAGATGACGTTCAAAGCACACTAATCTATAAATCAACTAGAAATAAACAGTTAGCATACGGTCTCTTGTCGAGGATTATGTATAGTTTGATATTTATTCACTGATGACAATCATCCAGTTAATACCCATTTCAACCAGTTAATGATAAAATAAACTGAATGAATGGCAATATTTGTAGAAACCGTATGAGTAGTCACTACGTGCTTTGGCTTTCTGAATAAGACTAAACGTGAAAGCCTTAGTTTTGATAAATTGAATGTAATGCTTACAAAACATTATTCATTTCATTGAAAGATATTAGTAGAAGAACCACGTATCAACTTAGAAGGTATAAACATCTATTTCCTCCTAATTCTAGATATCGGACCGATGAACATCAAGTTCCTCGACAGACATTTTTAACCCTCATCCATCAGGATGCAATCCAATGGTTCACATTCTCATAAATTTGTCAATAAAATTTATTCGGTTGAATGAAAGTTGGTTTGAGGTAGAATTCGTACTGTTCGTTTTAAGGTTATTGCGCAGCTCTTTTTACAACTTCTCACCGCATGCCTAATGGATTTAAGTTGGAGAGCTGGGAATTAATCGATTTTCGAATGAATTATCTGACATGACCTCAGTTTTGCGAATTATATTTAGTGTAGTGGGACTATCATCGATGTTGGAAAGAAACCTGAGATATGACGGGATTGAAATCGATGGCTTCTGCGTTATAGAACTACATATGAGATTTTCTACTCGTGCTAACCTTACAATATATGCGTAACAGGTCTTGAATATGCATTGTAGCTAATATGTACCTTGCCCTACCGCTTCACCCAAGTTATGTCATCATACTAAAGTAACAGTCTGCATGATTTAGTTTGTTCCAGTTTACTCTGCTGTAGTATAACAGAAAAATTCCCCTCTCATCGATAAAAACGCCGCCTCGTTTTTGGAAAAACACCATGGCATCTCATCGAACAACGGATCTTACTCGTCTGGTAAGTCACTGTATTGAGGTGATCGTATCTGATGTAATGACTAGACAATTACTAATGAAAACAGTATTAAGGTAGTGTTCATAACGGACTAATAACAAACGGAGAACCATTGAAAACCGGGGAGCGCTGGACATTTATTTCGTTCCACTGTGGAGCTCCATAACAGCACGCACCTACGGTCCACCAACAGTCAAACTCAGGTCTCGCGTCAAACGTATGAGGTGCTTGCTTCCGAGGAGTCCGATACTAGTACGAAATATCTGTCTAGTGTTCCCAGGTTTTCACCGATTCTTGGAATGATATCAGTCTAGGATTGATACTGCCTTGAAAATTATTCCGCATAAATCACAAAAAAAACATTACTGAAATCCTGATATTCAGGATACCACCAAACATTGCCAAAAACTCCCAGTATCATTCCGGTGAATAACTCTCACCTACTGATTTAAATCTCTCCGTCTAGTTTGTAATGTGAATAATATTGGAGATAATGCATTGCAGTTCTCGGTGTAATGAAGGAAGCCCTATTTTTTGGCTTCGGTTTTGTACTTTCCGTCACCCATCAGCCGTCAATATATACACACTCAAAGAAACTGATCCATCTGCAGAGACTCAAACCTCTTTAATCGGTGTTGCATTTCAGCTTATTACTAATAAGATGTTTCTGATACGAAAGAGTCCGCCTAGTAATCGAATATATAAGACATCTGGTTTTTTGAGGATTTTAAGTATCATATTGTCTAGTTTCAGTGATGACGGTAAAAATACACTACTAATTAACAACTGTACGAGCATCATAGAGTACTGTTAGGTTTAGAACTACTTAATACCAGATATTCAACCGGAGCTCTTATAGAGAACCAAGTACTGATTGAAATTTCATCCCACTTTAGATGAAGAATTCAGTGTTACGCATTTGTTTCCAATATATGTTCCTTGATCTTATCTTTTGTTCTATTATTTCTGATTCTACTACACTAGATAACTACGCATGTTGCCTATCGAGAATTCGATATGACGCAACTGCCTTCACAGCGTACCTCCTTGCAATCAGTTCTACGTAAACAAACAGAAACACGTCGTATCACGCAACTACAGTACATCAGTTGGCCTGATCATGGAGTACCCAATGACATCGATCAATTGATATCATTTGTTGAACAGGTTCAACGAATTCGTGGAGAATCTTCGACTGCTCCCATAGTTGTGCATTGCTCTGCTGGCATCGGCCGAACTGGTGTTCTAATTGCTATTGAAACGTCAATAAACCTAATGGAACGTAATTTTCCTGTAAAACCATTAGAATTGGTTCAGCGAATGCGTGACCATAGAGCTATGCTTATTCAAACCACTGTAAGTAGGATAAATCGTTGATTTTTATCGAAATTATTTATTATAGACTAAATCAAATCTCTTATATTTTATCACATATGTCAAAGTGCTTGACTTTGAAGATATAGTTGACCGCTTCTCAAGTTTGCTAATTAGTTTAAACAAACCACTTGATGTATTGAACTAATCAAACAATTTCAGATTCACATTCCTCCGATTTCATTAAGTTCATAAAATGAATTAGGCTATAATAGTGAGCTGCTTAAATCTCATGACGCCTGCTGCATCAATGGTATTTCTACAGAAAGTAAATCGAGTGTGAACTATCTTGGGTTGCGTTTTACTTCTAACCTTTGTTGGTCGTCCCATATTTTATTGACTTGTAAGAAAAATCTTTCGTTTAACTTATTACGTAAAGAAATTGAGGCTTTCTGGTATAACTCAACTGCCTCCTTTACAATTTATTAATTCCTGCATTTTACCTATTCTTCTATATTGTTCCCCGCTAATCTTTCCTGGTCTTCTTAAAAAGGACTATGTTATGTTGCGTAGGGCTTTGAAGACCGTCAGCAGGATGAGTGGTGTGTCTCTGGCTCAACTGATTAACACTGTAGTTGATCGACATATAAATTCCTGCAAGCTACTAGCTACAGAAATTTTAACTGACAGTGAGCATCCACTTCATTTACAGCTCTCTCCATGTGTCTCCTCAAGGAGGACAAGGAGGAATTACATAAGACTGTATGCTCGTACCGCTAAGTATAAGAATTCGACTTTACGTTTTCTGGCACACATATTTTGTGAGGAAAAAAGGGTTAGAACAGAAATCACATATCAACTTTGTGACAGGTAAAAATCTCATTTCAGTATTTTAACTTGCAACGCAAAATTTTCTCGTTTTTAATATTCTTCACATAACTTAAATTTTTATAATAAAACAATTCGAAATGTTGCAAAGGAGTGTGTATATACTTATATTTTGTTGTTATTGCAATGTATATTACGCTGAGAATTCCAAATTGTACCACAAATTGTTTGGAATAAAATGAATTATTATTATTATGCAAGAGACATCATTATGTGTATCATAAACAAGGGTTTGCTCAGTAATTTGTCTGTCTGACTCATTATGATCATTATATCACTTGTAGTGCAGATGCGAAAATATAACTAAGTATTCTTCTCAGTGTATCTTGATACTCAGTCGACTAATTTCCAGATAAATTTACCAAATGATTGTATCAAATTACTCAATTCCATTGGGTTGTCGGTAGACATCAATATCCCTCTCACGAGAAATCCATGTGGGAAGAAAACTGTGGATTTTCTATATTCTTAATTTTTTTTAAAAGTAGTGTAACGAATTTTCCTTTGGTCAGCATTAGTAACAGTCGACAACATTTGTGACGGGGATGATCGTGAGTGTGCACTCCTGAAGAGTAGTCCTATACTAGAATATAACAGCTATCCGGCACTCACAGGTGTGCAATGCTGCTTTAATTAATACCAGTCGTTGATGAATATCAACTTGAAATGAGTCCATCCCCCAAAGCCTTTAAGATGTTGAAAATATCTAATATCGAACTTTCATCCAGCGGTTCAACAGTGAATCATTTGACACAGGAAATGCGATGCTACTGATACCGCTACTAGAAGACGTCAAGTGTACATACTAATGAAACCTTTGAAATTGGAACAAAATATCTCTCTGTTTCTTAGTATAAAATAAAAATAGTTACAAAAAATAGTAGCCGATTATTTCTAAATCCTATAAAACGTTGTATATAGTATGTACTAACAGTTAACCAAGGTGAAAGGAAAGCCAAGTCATGTACCATTTCTGAAAAACTTGAGTAGTTTGGAAACCAATCAGGCTGATCTGTAGTATTTTGCCAGCCAGATCAGAGGGATCTGAACATCAGACGGTTCTTTCGCACTTTTGGGGGCAAGCCAGCTCATAAGTGGTGTACCCAGATGAATTCAGCTCATGGAGTAGAATTGTTTAAATCACCCGGATCTGAATGTCATGCCGACACAGGGGTTTTCGTTGGAAACCACCTATAACATATCGGATCGTTGATCTGGCTGGTGTAATCGTTAGATCGTGAGTGGTTTCTAACTACTCAATTTGCTTAGTAGTAGTATAGTTCGCTGGCTGATGACAGTTTTGTATCGAAGATTACACTATGTGATATTGGGTGGTGATGGGGGTTTTCCAACAGAAACCTTGCTGAGATCACCATAGTTAAGCAATTTTAAAACCACTCGTCTCTGAGAAATATCGATCTAGTGTGGAATTTGTGAATCATTTCCAAATTGATCAGCCTGTTTTAGGAGAATCGAGTTGTCTGGTGGATTCGAACTAATGTACTGTGAACTGCAGGATTTTTACCGATATCACTTGAACTAAGAGATCTAGTGGGTTTCAAGATCCAGTTTTTAGTTTGGTTATTAAGGATTTCCTTTGTTCTTCTGTTATAAAGGTACTGGAACCAGCTTACAGTCGTGTTTTTTCGGGTTGTTTTTACAACATCAGTGCATAAATAGGATCCGTGATCTTCACCATTTGTGAAGTAGGTTAAGGCTAACCATACTTTGGTAATGACACCTCTTTGATCGAAACTCACAAACACTGTGATTTCTTTGACTATGTCTCTGTGTGTATGTGTGTATTTGTACTCCTACATTAAAAGAGGGTGATGCTCACGTTAATTTTAGTTCCGTATATTTAAACGGAGGACATTATGAATTTAGAGATTGTATGAGTGATATATTGTGAGAGAATAGATTGTCCAGCTAATCAAAGGTAAAGGTGTAGCAGGAATATCACCTCACAAAATGAAATTATAGCTTATCAGTAGGATTCCCTCGACAGGGAGGGGGAGCGGTGGAGAACAAGAACAGAATGAATAACTAAGAAGTTTCTCTAGCAAGCAAGATGAAACGTAGGACCTCCTGAGCTTTACTGAAATCACACCAGTCTTTGAATGATCTTGCTTTAAATTCGTTAGATGACATTTTCATTCGCCAACTAGCTGAGGATACACTTACATTTCTGATGGAATACATGTTTATGAGTTACTTTAAAGGTCCCTCTAACAACTGCTGGAATAACCAATCAGGTTTCAGTGTTTCAGCTAGGAAGGTAGTTTTTCACCCAACAAACAAATGCTATTGGCTACCTCAGCAGTTGTTAGGATGGCCTTCAAAGTCACTACATGTTTTTATGCTGTTAAAAGATTCCGTTAGCTACTAAAGCCAAAAAGTTCCAGTTCGACCCCAAATCATAACTCCCTCACTAAGTATCAATGAGGGTTAATTCCAGCTTTTTGTTGGGTTTTTGAATTCTTTTTAACTAGGAAAAATATTAGCCTACCCTACCCCCTTCATGTAAGCATTGGCTTATTCCAGTAGTACACATATCGATTATTTGTCAATTAAATCAATTTGCTTCCTTCAGCTCATTTATAGATTCTAGATAGAAGACAGTCATACACGGAAGGCTGGTTCATTTGCTGCTAACTTATTGATTTTATGCAACCATAAACGTATCATCAAGTTCACTTCAAATTATCTCATGTTTAATGTTGTTAATTGGTTTTTTTACATTACTAGTCTTACTTGTTTAATACTGCGATAACCTTAAAAATATTTTCTTACATTTCTTTCCTCTCTTCTCTTCAGGGTCAATTTCAATTTGTATGCGAAACTATTCTCAAAGTCTTTCACCGTAAGTTGTTATTTTTTGGGAAAGGTTAACTTACTCATTAATCGATAATCGTTAAATTAATCGTTGCATGCCTGTCAGGAGCTGTCATTGTCGCTTCTGAGTGTATGTGTGTGTGTGTATTGTTCTAACTAATCAATAAATGAATTTTAAAATTCTTAATCGATATATAAGAATTGTGTTCATACTGTCTTTCAAGACTCGTACAAATTACGTTATCGATAATTTACAATAGTTGAATCATAGGCGTTGATGTGCACCTGGGACAAATTGTCAAAAGTTTGTGATGAAAAAAGTATCAAAGTTAATTTCCCACCCGTCTACATTAACGGAGAACTTCTAAAAGTCTGACAGTTTAAGATTGATAAAGACGAAACAAAAATCAGACAGTTTAATCATGAGACATAGACTTCTTTAATTATTCAACCAGAATGTATCTTGAAATCAGAATGACAGTGCTACCAGTAATAGTAACAAGTTGTATTTAAAGGTTTAGCTATAATTTGATTGGTGATGGCTAGTACCAGGATACAAGACGCACGTTTCGTCCTACTTAAGACTCGTCAAGTGGACAGGTGTATTTGCAACCCAGTGAGTGATGCTATCTCACTGATTGCCATCCAACAATCGAATCACATCATACAAGTTGGTAAAAGCCAGTCGAGCCTTCTTTATCCATGCTGAGGTCTCATCGATCATTGAAGCACCAGGTTTGATCTGACTTCTCAAACAGGTCAAGTGATCAACACCCTCAGTCACCTCATTTGCTGTAGTTAGATGGGTCATCAGTGAGCAATAACATGCATTTATGTGGTGAGAAATGCATCCCGCATATTTTCAAATTGCCATTCAAAAGGTAAGTCCATTAGATTCTTTTTTCATATTGGCATCCTCACCAAACAGGACTATGCTACCTACATACTGCACATCTGCTAAGGAGTATCCTGTAACAAGATCTATCCCTGTAAAGCCAAAAGATGAGACAGAGACCTCCATAAGTATACGTCTGTGGCAAAAGTAAGTAAGAATTGAGAGAGTGGAGACTTCTGAAGGACACCGCTTGATATGGACAAGACCTGTGATAACTCACCATAAATGTTCGAATACTGTGCCTTCAACAAGTGAAACCCCTTTATGTGAAGGACACTGCTACAAGACCTCTTAGTCGACGGAGTTGAGTACCGCTCTCATTTCTAGAAATACAGTTGGCGCCGGGTGTCGATAAGTGTGCTCGTGTTCTACAATCTGGTGGAGGATGAATAATCGCTTGATTAACCCACGACCAGGTCCAAAAGATTCTTGGTTTAAACAATCTCACCTGACGTTTTAAACCACTCATTTCTGTCGTTTCGGTTGTCATAACCATGTAAACTTATACCTTACTCAAACGAGTCATTTTACGAAATCGTCATCCTCTACAGGTGAAACTAGTTGAAAGTGGACAGAACGTAAGGGATAGTAAATTCTTGCCAACCAAGAGATGAAAGTAAGCCATAGTGACGAAAAATGTTACGGGTGAATGATGTGAGATTCAGATGGTAGACATTTTGTGAGACTGTCGGAGTATCTGGTTGGACTCTACCTTGTAATTCAAAGTATGAATTACTGCCTTCATTGAACATTTATTTCTATTCAGTAATCAATCACCACATGTTAACCTGTGTTGGTGTCACTTTTTATTTACTGATCGAAATGTGTCCATTTGGTTCGTAATTTAATGCCTAGGCTGAGTGATCCAACAGTGTTTTGTTCTGTACCAAAGTCATTGGTACATTCCGATCAGTGCTGAGCACCGAAGACACTAAAAATACATCAGATAACCCATTCATGTTGCGTCAGCCAGTGTTGCAAGGGTTATTTTTGGACTGGATAGTTAAGTGTCGTATATCACTTTCCTAATAACTGCAAACACGTTATGCAATGCAAGCAATGACATGAAAGCTATACCCGTCATACAAGAAGTGGGTAACACGACTCAGTGGCCCAATGGATGACGTTCTGGTGTTTGAAGCGATAGGATTAAAGCCTCAGTGGGGACAAATCACTCACCGGGAGGCAGATTTATCCAGTTGGTGAGTTCCAAATAGGATAAAACGCACCTCCTTGATTCCACTGCTAGCCCCTACCCATCACTATAAGCCTTAGATCAGATCCCGAACGTCGATTGGTTGCGTGCAATTCGTGAAATGTGTGCTATGCATACCTAACTATCATCTAAGTCGATGAATGGTATGTAATGAAGTAGGATTAGACTGAAAAGAAAGCTAAGACTAACTTTTGAAGGTCATTCGACCACTCTCCTGCGATACTTCTGACTATTGGCCTTAGAGATTACAGAGTATCTGTCTCTCTCTGGTTCGTTGTCATTCTTTTCATCCTTGCTTGTCCATGCTTTCCATACTATTGGGAAATATGCCAGCGTGACTTGACAGACGTTTTGTGATATTCTACAGTGATTCGTCCATTTACAAGCATCTGCCTGTATTTTTTAACACTATTGTTTTTCCTTTAATGATGTACATATTTTCAAATAAGAGAAAGAAAATGAATAAACATCTTTCTTTTTCTTATTCCATCTAATGTAGGCAATCATACAGAGAATTCGCTCAAGGATTCCAACTCTATGACAAGTCAATCTTGATAAATCACATTTGTATAGTTATGAAGTATAATCCCTTCTTTTATATATGCATAACAGCGAAACAATGACTATGAGTAGAGATATTTTGCTTATTGCCATATTCAATTTATTCCTCTAAAAGTTGAATACTACCCTCTCCTCCTGCTCCCCATGAGATTCTTCACTTGCTGTTAATCGAAATCGTCATCGTGTCATCGATTATTGAGCATGATTGCTGCATATGTTCCTACACGCATATATACCGGAAGAAAAAGAGAAAACAATGTTATGCTGATTGATTATACCCCTTTGATTAATAATCCCTTTTCTACTCCTTGTATCTGTTCAATAGAGGAATTCTCTATCTCGGTGCTTGTCTGGTTAATTTCAAATATGAATTAGCTAACTTTCCTTTCTTTTCAATAGATTCATTGGGTGGTTTAGCTTTTCTCGACAGCAATCACACTATTCCCCACTGAATGAAAAATTGTTCAACACTCTCCGTGGGATTTTGTTGTCATCTCATCTAATGATATTCACACAGACAATCTTTTCAGGTCAGCCAGTTGTTCTCTTTTTAGCATTGTTCGTTTCATCTCGCGATAAATATATGAATTTGTACTGCCACCTGATACTATCAAGCAATCACACCTTGAGTTCTGAACATATATCTCAACGACAAGTGAATCCTCCTCCCTTGACCGAAAGAGCAAGCTGTCTGCCTGTCCGTTTGTTTCCGTCTGCCTAGCCAGAAAGATTACGTTGATCGACACTAAGAGAAACAATGTACATGCATTTCTCACCGAATATCATGTTATTTTGCAACTATAAAGTGTTTTTTTCCAGTGTTAGTTTTGTATAATGTTAGTGTTAATATCCTCTGTCACTTAATGATGGTCGTTGACAGACGGAAGAAGAAAAAGAATTGAGCCCAGATTTCCTCTTCCTGTTTTTTCTCCCTTCTCGAGATCATCTTGTCTCTTCTTCATGTTTATCTAACTTATCCACTGCGGAACGGTGAAGCGAATAAATTGAGAATGAGACCAAGGTGAATTATCCCTATGATGTGGTTTAAAGCAGATATGAACGACGATTTCGTTCCTCTTTCTTTTCACACAAGATGATCAATTCAGGCTGATTTCACTGTCTTCTGTCTCTATCCTAATGATCAATAGAGAAATGGTGTTTTTCCTTCCTTTTTATTTTGATGTTTTCAGTGGTTTTGCCTCTTTCAGTTCTCTTCCCTTCCCACATGGACCCACTCACTCTTCCTCCATGTATCGAGTACAAAGTCCCTTAAAAGGAGAACAACTTTTGTTTGCATAAACACATACACAACCAGAAATCCATGTTCGAATATCCTTTCAAGCACGATGACGCAATTGTATGCGTACGTGTTATTCAAGTATTTCTTAAAAAGTCTTGACAAACTTTCCGTTTACCTTGTCTGTCACTATTTCGATAAATGTTTTGACGAAATGGAGTGTATAAATTACCAACTTTATAACTTTCTGTACGTGTTAGTGGTATAATTATACCAAGAATATTATTGTTGAACTTCGTCTTGATACTCCCAGCTCCACCTTCTTAAGTTTGATACGTTAGTCAGGGTTTTACAGATGCCCAAAACGGAAAGGTATTCAAAAAAGCGAAGTAAAACAGCTGAATGGTGAATCTACTGAATTTATTCCAATGATGAGGTTAACCATGCAATATGGTACTCACTGAGATGATTGGTTTACATATCAACATTATTCTAGTGGTTATTTTGTATCTATTCAATAAATATTTTAGCGTTTTATGCTTATTATATGAATAAAAAGGATCTATCTCATGAAATTTCTGTCCTCTATTTAAGTTTGACTTTTTTTAAGAAAAAATGTTCTCCATAGAAATGGGATGGTGAATTTCACCTCTGGTTCTGTAAATAAGACCTATTGAATTAACTATCTAGTAACTAGATGGTAGTAGTTTAGTTGATGCTACTGATAAGAATGCATATAAGTAGTATATGTCGAGAGGTCGGAAAAAGTAGTAAGCTATTACGAGCGACAAATAAATATTCTGCCCAGAGAAGCGCAAAAGATGACATAGCCATATCAAGACGAGGTAACAGAAGAAGATGAACTTAAACATATTATGCACATTGGTATTTCAATGGAAGGTTACATTATTTCATCAGTAATGTACCAGCTGTCATAATAATCCATCCTTCTGAAGTTCACACTTCTCCCTTTTCCTTCAGTAAGAACTGACGAGCCACCTAATACTGCCTGTCACCTGTTCATCAATCCTTTGGTGGTAACCTTGTGTATCTCGTAGAACTCATCAGCTTTCAGTGCATCAAGATGGATTGAGGCATTCCTAGTAAGAGAATGCTAAGAAAAGTCGTTTGAGTGAAGTAATCAGAAAATACAATATTATGAATATTCTAATTGCTCGACTAACTGCTATTTATAGATGGGAAATATTTCAATATACAACAATGACAACTTATTACCTCGAATTAAAAGATCAATATTTACGACTTTCATGCTGTAAAACTGTCCAGTGAAATATCCTCTTGACCATCATGGCAAATGGTATAAAAAGTTTGATTCACTTCCTCCCGTAATATGCACCGAAAGCAGAAAATCATTTAGTCAGCAGCGGCGTCTCATATTTCAGTTGGTTGAGCGCCAGGCTGTTGGTCCAAATCCTGCTGTTACTCAGTTTTTCATTTCATCCTCAATCATCCACCCTATATCAATATAATACGAGTCTGTCAAAACACAGCCATTTCAGATAGTCAAACTTTTAAATGATTCTACTTTTCATTTGATCGATATCTACTGGGACAAAGTAGTTATCAGTGAGTACATTCCTTAAGGTGGTTACTAGAAATGAAGAGAAATTGTCTTTGTGAAGACGATTGCATCACCTATCTTGATGAAATATAGTACGCACATAATCTCCTCAAGCCTACACTAACCATCAACAAATAGTGTAAGTTCAAAACTTTATTTATTGTCAAGGGTGGTGCTTTTTAAAACATAAGTTACGTTTACTCTGGAGGATCATCGGATGAATAGATGAAATCTTGCGTAAAGGAAAATAGGTGGCTCCTTAACTGCTACTACGTTAAGATAAGCAGTATATCTTCAGGGATTTATTTGCTGGAGTGATCACGTGGATAATAATAAATACGTGACATTTTATTCCACGAAGTTTCACCGCTTATATACTGTTTTCGCCACTAGGTCAAAAGTTAAAAAATTAATTTTAATTGATCAACTTGAGGATAAAATTACTCAATAAGGTTTTCCTGACTACGTAGAGACGTAAAACAACATTAAAATTCAAAGCTTCTACCCTAGCTGCAGATGACTTAAAATGTTGATTTCCATCTTGGCCGCTACCTATCACATGTGCCCTGTACATGTATCAACCAAAATACAGAAACGAAATAAATTTCAATCATTCATTCTGCAAAATTCTAAACTATGTTAACACACATCTGAACAAGTTGTAAGTAATGTAATTGTATACATCTGCTTGAAAAACGATGTGAGATCTTGGATTCCGGTTATTAGGAGACTGGAATAATAAGAATAAACATCAAGATCTTTTCTAGTTCCAATAGACATCATTAATTATGAGGCCATACCAACTCGTTGACTTCGGTGTCACCTCGTTGGACTTGCTATTTACCTTACGATGCAACTTGTTCATCTCTTGTTCTTATTTGTTTTCAGTTTACCGAGGTTCTGTGCTTCTTGATTTAACAGGAAATTCAACTGATGTGTCTTTTTAGGCATTCATATCTGTGTCAGATGAAAGTACAGTCAGCAAATTCTTTCCTCGGCTATTCGGTCTATGGTATACCTTCTGTAGAAAATTTGACATATCGATTCATTGTAGCCAGTGTTAAATAGTTTAAACAGACGTTCCCCAAAAATTAGATTTCAGGTGTTGAGATTACACTACTAAGCGAAGTTATTATGAAAGTCTTGATTGGATTCATAAACTGTAATGGTTTTCGTTTCGTAGGTGATGTAATCATGGTTAGAGGTAAGAAGGGATAGGTTGTGAGAACAGTGGCTTACCTAATCCAATTCTACAGGAGGTTATTCACAGCCCAGATGACTCGGTGGGAACTTCTGTAACTGCAATAATGGAAGATGCGGGTCCCAACCCCTCGGGAAACATCACTCCCCTCAAGGTTGCACCTATGCCTTACTGAGGAGTGCTAATAAACACGAAACCTAGGCTGAGCACAGATTCCCACCGATTGCTTTCAACCACGTAGTAGATTTGTACTAGTTAACCGTTAGTTTCAATGTCATCATACATATTTCTGTCTAATGTCGTTCAGTGATGCGCAGACTTCCTTCTGTGAGTCTCATTCCTGCCATCGTCAAATATACCAATAAGCGATGACTATAACCTTGGTGGTAATGATATCTGAACTCATCATTCCAATAAGTGATGCATCTTAACGCAGAACAGTTACATTGCACATAAAACATGTCAGCATATTTTTAAGCATTAGCTGCTTGGTATGGACTAGCACAGATGAGTATTCCAAGTCTGTTAGGCAATGATTTTCTCTGTCTAATGAATTGTACATGTCATGTTTTCTAAAGATAAGTCAGTGACGGTTCTTATTGTATCGCCTAGAATGCGATACAGCTTATAATTATCTTAGTTTGAGTCCCTCAACCAAAGTACAGTATAATATATAACCTATCGGCAACATTTAACTGACATCTCGATAATATTTTCTCGCAGAAGTGTTCTACAACCACGCGTTTTCTTCAGAGACAGTTTAGTCATTGTGATTTAAAAATCGGTCAACATTTGGTCACTTTTTAAATTCATCTACTTTCTGTTTCATCTATCCATATTACTGACTGTTTCAACCTACTGAGAATACATTTCTCCTCTCCACCTTCCCACTGGTCAATTCTTGTTTTAAATAGCTTCTTCTCTTGCGTTTAACAAGCTCCTGAATATTTCCTATTATTCTCTATTAAACCTAT